TTTTTTTTTTTTTTTTTTTTTGTGAAGAAATAGTTCTTATCACTTTTGACTTAGGTAAATGGGGGTCAGAAGCCAAAAATGTTCTTATTTGTATATAAAGTCTACACAGACCAGCTGAGCTGGTCTTTGAGTTCTAAGTCCAAAAAGCCAGCAATCTGACACTAGCTTTCAACCCAGAGCTCTGAAGAACATCAACAGAACATAAAACTTATTTACTATGTCATAGCCCATAGAATAAGAAAAAATACTTAATAATTATAGCACACATGAACTTGAGTTTCTTGTTTCCATTTTTTCCTCACTATTTGCCAAGCATCTACTTTTCTTTCGGCATTCTGTCCAATGGAATAAATCTTGATTATTCGATATTCTTTCCACAAATCCAGTACCGGGCTAAAAAGTGAAATGGTTATTGTTGGCACTCTGAATTACAAATTTCAAGTTTGTGCTTGAGAATCTTGTCTCTCAAGATGTAAATAAAAGGGTTTAGAACATGTTAGTCTTTAGGGGAAGATTACAGTTCTAAAAAAATCATCATCTTAGGGGCGCCTGGGTGGCGCAGTCGGTTAAGTGTCCGGCTTCAGCCAGGTCACGATCTCGCGGTCCGTGAGTTCGAGCCCCGCGTCAGGCTCTGGGCTGATGGCTCAGAGCCTGGAGCCTGTTTCCGATTCTGTGTCTCCCTCTCTCTCTGCCCCTCCCCCGTTCATGCTCTGTCTCTCTCTGTCCCAAAAATAAATAAACGTTGAAAAAAAAATTAAAAAAAAAAATCATCATCTTAATAACATATAGTGTTTATTAAGTCCTATATGCCAGTTCTACACTAAACTCTTTAGTTATTTTAATTCAATTAATTTTGCAATAACTCTTGAGATAAGTACTGTTCTTTGCTTCCATTTTATAGCAAAGGAAATTAATGAATACAAAGGTTTTAGATAACATGCCTGATGTTACTTAAGCATGACAGAGACTTATACCTGTGTAGTCTGACTCTTAGAGCCCACGCTATTAGCCACAACACTAAGATATAGCAGGATCTCAGACAAGCACATCTTGGATGACATTCTGAAATTCTCCACAATGCGTAACACTAGCCTCCTGAATGGTTGTGTAGCGCTGGTAAACGTGATTCGATTTTTATCTGCAGATGGTGGGATAGGTATTTCCCACATTCCCAGAGAACTGGGACTGTTAAATGAGACTTAGGCTCTTTAGCCATATCATGATGAAACTGAATTAGATAAAAAGTCCTCTTTACCCCAAACGCGTTTTGACTCAATAGTTTTGTACAGCAGAAACTACAATAGCACATAAAATGCTTTTCAACATTGATGATGGTGGAGGATGATGTCATTTTTTTAGAAAATGGAAAATAATGGGGGCACCTGGGTGGCTCAGTCAGTGGAGCATCTGATTTCAGCTCAGTTCATGATTTCGCTGTTTGTGGGTTCCAGCACCACGTCAGGCTCTGTGCTGACAGCTCAGAGCTGGAACCTGCTTCAGATTCTATGTCTCTCTCGCTCTGACCCTCCCCTGCTCACACTCTGTCTCTCTCTCTCTCTCTCTCTCTCTCTCAAAAAATAAATAAACATTTTTTTAAAAAAACTTTTGACGGAAAATAAGCAAACAATGTGATACCTATTCCTTCACCTTAATGTAGCATTATTTTTTTAATTAAATGTATAAATATTTTTGTTCCACAGTTTTTAAGTTTCACCTTGAAATTACTCAAAAAACAAAACTGAAGGAACTTCTGGGTGAGGGAAAATACTGATTCCCTTGAACAGAAGTAATAATTTGCAGAAAATTGACTCAGTGGAAGACAGCCATGAGAAATTAATTACGTAGCCTATGGGGGGAAGCATGTGATGCTAAGAGAAAAAAGTGGAATGTAAAAATGCATTATGCTCAGTTAACAACCCCATAAACAACACAGATACATTGACAAAGACTGGAGTGGAACAAGGAAAAGTAAAACCACTGATGTTTCAGAGCAGTGAAATCCTGAGACATTTCTTGTTGTCTTTTATTGTTAACGACACCTTTTAAATAAATGTAGCAAGTCTGTAACAAAAGTTCATCTCAGGGAGGCAGGCATTCTCCTGGGAGGAGCAAGAAAGAGGTTGTAATGGAGGGGCCCGGGGGCTCAGTCAGTTAAGCTCAGGTTTGGGCACCGGTCACGGGTTCATGGGATCAAGCCCTGCATGCGGCTCTGTGCTGACAGCGCAGAGCCTGCTGGGGACTCCTTCCCTCTCCCTCTCCCTCTGCCCCTCTCTCTCTGCCCCTCCCCCGCATGCACACGCGCGCTCACGCGCTCTCTCTCTGTCTAATAAATAAACAAACACTAAAAAAAAGGAAGTGCCAATGGATAGAAAAGGTCACCTGTAGCAGTGCGCCCCCCACAGCCCCAGCAGCAGCAGCAAGACGAGCGCCACCACGCAGACGGCCACCACAGTGACTTGCCGCTGTCTCCCTTGGCCAGCGTGGCGCAGTTCCCATTTCAAGTCCCGGTGCTGACATCGCTCCCCAACATAGCCAAAAACACAGCTGAAACAACACACAAACAGAGGTCAGCAGTAAGCCCTGGCCAAGAACACTTAGAGTTTTCAGATTCGATATCCAGCTGTCTTTCAACCTCTGCATTTCCAGGCTCAGCTCTTTAGAAGCATATGGAAAATCCATCAGGGGTCAGTTGAAAGCACTCTGATTTACACGTTAATGCGGCATGGACTTCCCCCTTTAGTCTGTTTGCCCTGGGATGGATGGGGGATTATTTGCATACCGCCTCTATAAGGCATTGCAGAACATTGATTAAAGATCAGCTTCTGTTAGGTTAAAATCCTGAGGAGCTACCTTTAAGACCAACACAAAGCAACTCTGCCCTAAGAGCCAAGAGAGTTTTTAAACAAATGTTTGGCTAGATTGCAGTGACTGGAGGTCAAAGGAAGGAAGAATTTGAAGGCAGAGCCCCTCACTTGAGACCAGGCTTATAAAAGAATGTGTAGCCTCTGAACAGGAAGTACAGCCTAGTCAGCTGAGGAAACATTTCTTTTTTTTTCTTTTTACAATTTTTTTAATGTTTATTTATTTTTGAGAGAGACAGAGAGACAGAGCGTGAGCAGGGGAGGGGCAGAGAGAGAAAGGGAGACACAGAATCCGAAGCAGGCTCCAGGCTCTGAGCTGTCAGCACAGAGCCCAACATGGGGCTCAAACTCAGAGTCCGAGATCATGATGACCTGAGCTGAAGTCAGATGCTTAACTGCCTGAGCCACCCAGGCGCCCTGCTTTCTTTTTAAAAAAAATCACTACTGACTCAAGAGAAAAGGTCTTAGTGACAACATGTGAACTTTTGTCTATTTTCTTCAAGGGAGAAAAAAACTAAACGGAGGAAAGGGGGCATGCAGGGGCAGTATTTCATTAGTGAAACTGTAACTAGCATTACCAGCCACCAATATGCTTGTCAACCTTTTAGACAAAACTAAATGAAACAATGCTGCCATCTACTGGGAATGTATACTTCCAGAAATTATGGGATCTTGGGTACAACAACTATATTCTATTACTCTTTGCAACGGCATAAACTTTAAAAAATATCCTATTAAACATTTTGAGATACCCACTTGTTAGGAATTTCTTCCCCCCTTGGCCCTGGATCAACTATCTATTATGTCCATATTGTCCGTATCATATGAAGGAATGAATACACAGGGAATTGGTACTGGTCCTTGTGATGGGAAGAGACAGTATGGAAAAAGCATTGGATGGAGCTCCAGAAGATCTAGACCCTAGGCCAAGCTCTACCTCGAGTTGGTCACAAGAGCACTGGAAAGTCACTTTCAGAGAGGGAGGGAAAGGAACTCGCATTTGTTAAGTACCCATGTGTCTGACACTGTGCTAGGCACTTTTACTCATTTTACTTTCGATAGCAAATTCCCATTTTATAGATGAGAAAAATGAGACTCAAAGGCGGTAAGTAACTTGTACCAGGTCGTACAGCTAATGAATGGCAGGGATTTTGTTTGTTTGTTTGTTTGTTTGTTTGTTTAGTAGAGCTGACACACAATGTGACATTAGTTTCAGGTGTACAACATGGTGATTTGACAAGTTTATATGTTTGTTGTGCTCACAAGTGTAGCTACAATCTGTCACCATATATCACTATTACAACATCAGTGACTATATTCCTTATGCTGTGCCTTTTATTCCTGTGACTTATTTATTCCATAACTGGGAGCCTGTGTCCCCCCATTTCCCTTCACCCATTTTGCCCAACCCCTCCATCTCCCTCCCTTCTTGCAGCCATCAGTTTGTTCTCTGTATTTATAGGTCCGATTCTGCTTTTTGTTTGTTTACTCATTTTTTTTAGATTCCACATAGAAGTGAAATTATATGGTTTTTGTCTTTCTCAGTCTGACTTACTTCACTTAGTAGAACATACTCTAGGTCCATCCATGTTTTCTCAAATGGCACATCTCATCCTTTTTGTGTCTGTGTCATATTCCATCACGTGAGCACACACACACAGACACACACATACACACACACACCACATCTTTCTTATCCATTCATCTATTACTGGACACTTAGTTTGCATCTATACCTAGGCTATAATAAATAATTCTTGCAATAGGCGTAAAGGTGCATATATATTTTTTGAATTAGTGCTTTCATTTTCTTTGGGTAAATACCCAATAGTGGAATTATTGGATCATATGGTATTTCTATTTTTGATTTTGGGGGGAAATTCCATACAGTTTTCCACAGTGGCTGTACCAACTTATATTTCCACCAACAGTGTATGAGAGCTTCTTTTTCTCCACATCCTTGCCAATATTTGTTACTTTTTGTCTTTTTGATTTTAGCCAGTGAATGGCAAGTTTGATCTAAATGGTTTTCTGATGTCAGAGCCAGTGTTCTGCTGCATTGGGCTACTCCCAAAAAGGTTTTTTGAGCTGTCTGCACCTCTGAAAAGCTAGTCTTCTAGAGGCACCTGGGTGGCTCAGTTGGTTACGCATCTGACTTTGGCTCACGTCATGATCTCACACTTTGTGAGTTCAAGGCCTGTGTTGTGCTCTGTGTTGACAGCTCAGAGCCTGGAGCCTGCTTCAGATTCTGTGTCTCCCTCTCTCTCTGCCCCTCCCCCCTCCCCATGCTCTTTTTCTGAAAAATGAATAAACCTTAAAAAAATAAAAAAATTTAAAAAAAGAGAGAGAGAGAGAGAAGCTATTCTTCTAGAATGGACCATGAAAGAGAGGATAGGATCTGAGTGTAGTAAGTATAAAGGACCATCAAATTACTCCATGGTTTCCTGGATACTGTTTTAACTCTAGCTATCTTTGGTTATAGTCATTTACTACCAATGCCTAACAGCCTCTTTTAAACTGTTGGATATCAACCTCAGAGATTTTAGGGCCTCAAGGAATATGCCAATCACATGGGCAAGAGTGCTGGGGAGCCAAGGCAAGCTGTAATATCGACGCCTTTCTGGGCTGTATGAGGCCCAGAGCAGTCAGTTAGCATTTCACATGGATGGGCCACCCACTACTAGTTCTTTGGGTTATTAACTAGTCCTGTTAAACCAAGCAAAAGATTCCTGGGTTTATTTATTCAAATAAATTACTCAAACCCGAGTTCATTTGTTTAAATAATTTTAAGAAATTCTGGACTGAAAAAAGGTTCACAAGACTTTTTCACATTGTGGTGTACTATGATCAAGAACTGAGGGCTAGAGTGTGTAGCATTTCTCAAACTGATTTGACCACACAACTTTTTTTCATGAAACATTTCACAGCACTGGAGTTGGGGGATCTTGATCTTGAGAAGACCTGGCCAGAAGGATGTGGGGTGGTTCAAAGCCAATACAGAGTAAACGAGGACCTCCACTTAGCTCAGGAGGCTTGGTCTTCTGAGACTCTCCACACCAGGGAATCTTTGAGGAAGACATGGGGTGTGGAGACATCAGTTCTCACATCCTCTGCACCCCCCAGGGAACTCAGGGATCTCTGTATTGAGGGGAGTTTCCATCACCTGCGAGCAAGGACAGTAGAACAGCCCTTTCTAAACCTGCTCACAGTGTTAAGAACATTCTGCAGAATGATGCCCATGCAGTGTTTCTAATAAAAGTTAGACTGGTGCACACTTCTAGAGATGTGTTATTGTAGAATTTTTAAAAATACAAGGTGAGATCAGCAGGGCAAAAGGAGGAAAGGGTTCAATGTTTGATTAAACCACACTTTTATCAAATGTAGAATTCAAAAACAAAGTTGTGATCTAGATTAATGGGAACTCTGGTGATATTTTAAATATTGCTTTTGATTAAAGGTCCTCAAATGTGAGTGTTATCTCTAGTTTAATTGTCATTTTGTAGCAACCCGTGTTTAAAACACTATCAGGGAATAAGATACTTTCATCAGGATTTAATGACAGAAAGAAAAGCAGCATACGAAAGAGTTGATTAATCATTTAATGAATTGATGCTATTGGGTCAAATGAAAATAATGTACTAAATGCAATACGTAATTGTGAAATACCTTTCACATTATTGTAATGTCTTTTATAATCTAAAAGTAAAGTATCATAGAGAAAAACAAACCGTGACCTAATAAATTTATCTCCGTAATTTCATTATTTTGGATAACAAGAAATTATGAACAAGTAAAAAAAAATGATTCTTATTAACAAAAATCAAGGATAACTACTGTGAACATTGGATTTATTTTAGAAAATTACAACATGCAAATATGAATATGAAAAGGCACCTGGGTGGCTCAGTTGGTTAAGCTTCTGACTCTTGATCTTGGCTCAGATCATGATCTCACAGTTCATGGGTTGGAGCCCGTATCGGCCTCGACACGAGGAGCCTGCTTGGGAGTCTGCTCTCTTTCCCTCTCCCTTTCTCTCTCTCTCTCTTTCTCTCTCTCTCTGATCCTCCCTCACTTGCTTGCATGCTCTCTCTCTCTCAAAATAAATAAACATAAAAATATGAATATGAAGGTAGAATTCTATGAGAATTGAGTCATTTTCACTATATTCATGAACATTTTTCATTATTTTTTGTCTAGCTGACACAATTTATAATGCAAGACCGTTCACTTTGTCACATGATATAACTTGTTCTTCTAACAATTTAGACTATGCTTCTGCTGATTACTATTCATAAAATAATAAAAGCCTTTAAGCTTATAGCATGTATTCATGAGGATCAGAATATTTTATCATGTCTTCCTCAGGCACAGAGAAAATCATCAATGAGTCAGGTGTCTAGCCATAGGAGACCTATTTATTTTTCAGTACCTATCAGTTCCCCCTGATTGACTTCAAAATATAAGATCCATTAAGAGTAAAATTTGATGCGGAACTAGATACTGTGAGTGTGGTTTTCTCAAAAGCTCCAATGGAAATGTTTTCTGAGTAAGTTTGGTAGAGGGACCTATGGTTTCAGGTCACCCTCAGACCTGCTTTTCAGTTGACCGTGTCCACCGTGAACCTGTCATGGGGACAAAAAAAGAGCAAGGGGCAGCAGGTGCTGCTTCCAACACTTGTTACTAAACCACAGAAAATGTAAACACCAACTATTAGAAAATGAAGAAAAAGGGGCGCCTGGGTGGCTTGGTCGGTTAAGCATCCAACTTCGGCTCAGGTCATGATCTCACGGTCCGTGAGTTCGAGCCCCGCGTCGGGCTCTGTGCTGACCGCTCAGAGCCTGGAGGCTGTTTCAGATTCTGTGTCTCCCTCTCTCTCTGCCCCTCCCCTGTTCATGCTCTGTCTCTCTCTGTCTCAAAAATAAACCTTAAAAAAAAAAAATGAAGAAAAATAATTTCTTTGCTAGTTTTGAACACTGAAGGTAAGAAGTTCAATGTGAATATATAATAGTTTTGTAAATTCGGAAACGCATTGTGGGTGTTCTCCATATATGTGGCAGAAAATAAATCAAAAGTATTAAGGGATTCTTTCACAAACCCAAGTTTTCAGCCGGAACGAGAGGTTTATGCCCCAGACTGTACCAGTAGTAACATCAAGTTAAGTAAAAGGGAAAATCACCAATTCTTTAAATGTATATTTACTGTTGGCAGCTTGGCAGTGGGGGGTGATGTGTAGGGAGGGTGCAGCATGCACACACACACAATTTATATACGTGTATTTATATATTTCTACCTAGCAAAAACCTACTTATAGAAAACTCTCCTTGACACAAATCTTATCAATTAGCTAAAAGTTACAGATTACAATATCATATCTCTGTGCCACCACAAAGATAGCTCGACTTACTTGCATGCGTATCTGTCCACTGCTTCAATATACATACACACACCGTTATAGAGGCAGTACCCGTCATAGGATGGGGGGCATTCCTGGTAACTGTTTCTCACAGAATAGCGGCCATCCTCCATGAGAACAGAAGGAGGAGTAGAGTCTACAAGAATCAAAGACATTACCCTTACTTTCTGAAGTGATTAGATCTTTCAGGTCTTAATATCAGGAATTAGTCTCTGTGAACAACCTGTGATACAGTGTCCTTTAGGGACAAGAATCGTCACAAGTGACTCTAGTTTCACTTTCCCAACCAGACTTCATGTCATTCACCATGAAGTCAGCCATTCTTTCTTTGGGTTCAGTATTATCTGACAGAAAGCATAACGGAAGCAAGTAAGAGATTGGTCAATTCTAAATAATTCCATGAATCCCAAGTCACTGGTCTCATTATAAAAGTGCATCTGTCATCCACAAACACACACTAACTGTGTAAAATGACAGACAGCTTTAAGAGGGTCTTACTGAACAACAACAGATCTTTTTATGGCTCATCAATCACCCACCAGTATACAATCTATTACACCCAATACCCTGAAAGCCTCAAAAATTTCTCCCATACAATGCTTTCTTCTAAAAATAATTCAACTTTCAGGGGAGCCCTCAAAGACAAGACTACCAACTTTGACAGAAAAGAAATGTTACCATAAGAGAGGGAATGTCAAAGTGGTAAAAATTCCTTTTATTGAACGATTCTCTGCTCATTAAAAGGAAAACATTAGGATGTGTAACCGACTATATAAGTATTAGTAGTCCTTCAATAGTTTTAAGAAGAACAAATTATTTGAGAAAAATAATGTGTTAAAAAAAAAAGATCTGGGTAAGTGCAGAAATTTCCCTTCTTGGGGTGTTTTCAGAGCTGAGACAGGTGAATTGCTGACAGTGGTGGGGGAAGAGTCCCTGATCCTGGGTTCCAAGGTTGGGGTGAAGGCAGCTCCCTTGTGAGGATGGTGAGAACATACTGCCTGTTGGAGAGATGCTTGAGGAAGCAGAAGTCAACCATTAACATTTAAAAAGGAAAAAAAAAGAGATGAAGTTCTAATTCAGATCAAGAAATACTCATTTTTAAGGTAATATTTTAAAATCTTTAAGAGTGATTCAAAATGCTAAGGGTCTAGATGTCCTTCCTGGCCTGCTTTGACCTGCGAAGTTTTTCCAGCAGTCCCAGAAATCAACATTACAAATTAAGACATTAGTCACACAGTTAAAGACAACCATCTGTATTCTCACCTTTAGTGAATTGTAGTGATAAAAACAGAATTTATTCCAGATGCTATTAAATTAAGAAAATTTGGACTATTTCACATTCTCAAGCTTAGCATCAACCGAATCAGGAAAGTAAACTCACCAGCCGATTGAATCCAATGATTTTCCAGAATCTCTAGAGCAAATACATTGGGGTACAGAATTTTCCAAAATTAAGCCCCTTCCTTGGATTTAGACCACCCACCAACCTACCAGGACATATCTGTCCAGGTTCAGACAGGGTGCCGGCACACATGCAGGTGTAGTTTCCCTCCATATTTGTACAGGTGGCATTTTCCCCACAGGTGTGTATGCCCAACTGGCACTCATCAATATCTGCCAGAAAAAAAAAAAAAAGGAAGTAGGGAGGAGAAAAGTGAGGTGCAGAGGAGGAAAAAGGGTTATACTATTGGAAGAGCCAACATTCTGGGAGGGGAACATATTCAACTTTTGTCATGCTGCGTGCTTTCGGAGGCTTTGCATATTTTGATTAAAAAATTGTATCCTGGGGCACCTGGGTGGCTCAGCCGGTTAAGCGTCCGACCTCGGCTCAGGTCGTGATCTCACAGTTCGTGGGTCGAGCCCTGCGTCAGGCCCTGTGCTGACAGCTCAGAGCCTGGAGCCTGCTTCAGATTCTGCGTCTCCCTCTCTTTCTGTCCCCCTTCCCTGCTCACACTCTCTCTCTCTCTTTCTCTCTCAAAAATAAACATTTAAAAAATTTAAAAATTATATCATGAATATTGGACACAAAGATGAATGGAGTCCCTCAGCTGCCTGCCCATTCAGGTGTTCTAAACTCCTGAAATATGGCTGGATGTTTTCCTGCTGCTTGGGAGAAAGGAGACATCCCAACAGCAGCTCAGTGGGGAGGCTGGAGATTGGTAAACTATCTCTAGGCAAACATTTAGAAAATCAAATCCTAAAAATTCATTCTTAACTTTTGCAAATAGACCTCCAGTCATTGACATACATGTTATGTCAAATAAAACACTTCTGCATTTTTCCTACAGAAATATAAGCTAACTCATCCCTTTCTTTCCCAACTACCATCATTTTCTTTCTCAGTTACCACCCCCCTGACATCTAGATCCTTCCTCTCTTCAACTTTGCATTACTAATAGAACGGCCTTACTCCGTTCCCTGCATCCCATCTGTCCCCCACTCTACTCCTAAACACCAGTGCCAGATTACTCTTCCTAAAGCACATTGCCCATCAGTACACCGCTTGCCTCAAATGCTGCCGGTGGCTCCCTGCTGCCTAGAGCTTAGCTGCCCAAGGTGGCCGCCACTGCCGTGTGTGTGTATGAGCATCTGAAACGGCAGCCAGTCTACAATGACATGCTGTAAGTGTAAAACACTTCCCAGATTTGAAGACTTAGTACCAACATGAAGCAAAAATGTGAAATCTCTCAATAACTTTTATATTGATTACATATTAACATATTAATACCTTTGACATATTGGATTGAATAAAATCTAAAATTAATCTCACCTGTCTCTTCGTACTTTTTGTAACATGGCTATTAGCAAAATTAAAGTCATATATGTAACTTACATTACACTTCTGTTTGATGGTGCTGGTCTAGAGAAGTAAAACCCCAATGACTGATGCTCAGCTTCTAGTCTCCTACATATGTAACCCAACCCACTTGTTATGAACTGTATTGAATCTCCCTCGAGATCCGTATGTTAAAGTTCTAACCCCCAATGGGACTATGTTTAGAGATGGGGACTTTAAGGCAGTAATTAAAGTTAAATGAGGTCATAAGAGTGAGGCCCTAATCCAACAGAATTGAAGTTCTTATAAGAAAAGAGAGAGAATGATCTCACAGCTCCTGAGTTCAAGCCCCGCATCAGGCTCTGGGCTGACAGCTCAGAGCCTGGAGCTTCAGATTCTGTGTCTCTGGCTCTCTCTGCCTGTCCCCTGCTCATGCTCTGTCTCTCCCTCTCTCTATCTCTCTCAAAAATAAACATTAAAGCAATTTTTTTTTAATTTAAATAAAGCAAAGGAAGAGACACCACATGCCCCACCCCCCCCCCCACCCCAATGACAGCAGGAAGGCATGTGAGTATGCAATAAGAAGGCTGTGGTCTGCAAGCCCAGAAGACCTGCCACCAGGAATTGAATCAGCCAGCACATTGACCTGGAATGTCTAGGTTCCGGAACCGTGAGGAAATACATTTCTGTTGTTTAAGCCATCCAGTCGATGCTGTATTTTGTTATGAAGGCCTGAGCAGACTAAGACATCGCTTTGCCAGTCTCAGTCTGTTTCTCTCACACCCACTACACTTAGGGATCAGTTGGGCTGTTCTCTACCTCCCAAATAGACCTGTAATATGTTTATTCCTGGAATTCCCCCCCCCCTTCCTTCACATTTCTAATAAAAATTTACTCTTGAGGTGCCAGGGTGGCTCAGTTGGCTAAGCGTCTGACTCTTGATTTCAGATCAGGTAATGATCCCACAGTTCCTGGGTTCAAGCCCCACGTCAGGCTCTGCACTGATAGTGCAGAGCCTGCGTGGGATTCTCTCCCCCCACCCCTCTCTTTCCCTCTGCCTCTCCCCACCCCCTTAAAATAAATAAATAAAAATTCCTCATGCCACAAGGTCCATCCATAGTGATATTTCTTTCATGAAGTCTTTCCTAATACCTCACACAGATATTCTCCCAGTTGTGAATTTTCACTGTAGTTTTTACTTCTCCCATGATGCACACCCTTCTTCTCTATTTATTATTAGCTCTATTTCTTCTAGATCCTGCTCTTCTCGCAAACAAGCTCTACCTCCAGCATTCTGGTCTTCCTCACAGGTCCTACTGCTGTGTCTTTCCACTAATAAGAGCTAAATGAATATATGTCACATTGAACTGCTATCCTGATGGCTCAAATTGAGTCTTTTTTTTTTTTTTTTTTTTTTTTTTGCTTACTTACGATTTATAATTTCTATGAACTATTATCTTGAGAGTCAGAGAAAGCTTTTCTAAGAAGCAAAAACAAAGATACAGTCTTGGCCAAAAAATACAACTACTCTTAAGAATAAGAATAACAACAATGGCACTTATGTGCCAGGCATGGTTTAAAGCACTATATCTACATATATACGGAGAGGAAGGAAGGAAAGAAGGGGGAGGGAGAGAGAGTCAGAGAGAGGGGGAGAGGGAGGGGGGAGGGAGACAGAGAGGGAGAATGACACACACACAGAGAACAAGAATAGGCCCATTCTTCCATGTGGCCTGAGGATTCCATGCCATCCGGGTAGTCTGGGCCATGATGCCCTGTTGTGTGCTCACTACTGGAAGGAGGTAGGTTAGTGACACAGTGAGAATCCAGACTACAATGAGTTTAAACATTCAAGAAAGTATACCTTCTTTTCTCTTCAAAGCAAATTAAATATAAAGCCTGTTTGTCTAAATTATCTATGAGCCTGCTTAATTAGAGCAGTGACATTTCCCTGACTGACAGCCAAATATGTGCTTAAAAGAGCATTTACAAATGACTGTGGGCTCCACAAAACTAATCTGATAAAGGTCTGATTTAAACCAACCAGATCCAGAAAACTGGTAGTTATGACTGACTTCATCTTCAACCTCAACATGTGGGAGAAAGCAATAGCATTTTAGTGTCTTATCGGGTCATCTGCCCCTCACCGTGAAAAGATTTGTATGTTTTCAGAAGGAAAAGAAAATACTGAAAGAGACATGTTAAAGCCCTGTTAAACTTCAGATAACCACTTCACTGGGCCGTGATGGCTTCAGGCATGTCCCCACTTGTGCGGACTACTATGCTACTGACACCTGGAATGATGGCAGACATCCACTAAGTGAACTCCCAACCCAAAGCCACACCCAGATCTTGGCAGAGGATGGTAATTATGAAAAGAGGTCTTAATCATGCTTTACTTGTATCCAAATGTCAGTGACTTGAATCTCCCATCTTTTTTTTTTAATGTTTATTTATTTTTGACAGAGACAGAGACAGAGTGTGAGCAGGGGAGGGGCAGAGAGAGAGGGAGACACAGAATCCAAAGCAGGCTCCAGGCTCTGAGCTGTCAGCACAAAGCCATCAGCACAGAGCCCAAGGTGGGGCTCAAACCCACAAACCTCAAGCCAAAGTCCGACACTGAGCTGACTGAGCCACCCAGGTGCCCCTTGAATCTCTCATCTTTGAAACTTATCAAGAGCCATCTGATGAACCCCTTCATAGAACCATTTTTCCTTTCTTTCATGCACATAGCAGTCACTTCCAACAGACCTACAGCAGCTCTGCAGTTCACCACAGTTCAACTGCCAAATTCAATGACAGTGAAAATGCTGTACAATTCCCCCGAGGATGGCTCGAGGTATAGAGTGTGGGTGAGGCACGGGGGTCACTCAAATCCCAGAGAAAGAAAGGCAGAGCGGCAAACCACCTCTTCGGGGTTTTGAAGCTGACGACTGCAGTCATAGCACAAGGGCACAAACCTGACTATTCATCAAGAACGGAGATATGTCAGTTTGAACATCACGCAACTTCTCTTTCAGTCCTAACATGTGTGGCACCTAAATTATAGCCTGTCTTCTCCTGACCCACCACACCCACCGTGTTTCATGATTCTCTGAGGCCTGCCTCCACCCTCCTCCCTTGGCACACGTGCTCTCTTACCAAGACAGTGAATCCCATCTCCCCGGTAGCCTTCTGAGCACTGGCAAACGTAGCCGCCTTCAGTGTTGATGCACTTGGAGGAGGTGGGAGGGCAAACGGTGGTGCTTGTCCCACACTCATTTATATCTGTGGGCAACATGACCAACTAGTGAAATATGTACACAAATGAGAGTCATAGGAAAAAAGAAACATAAGCTCAAATACAATCTTTCAGCCGCTTGCAGATGCTATTTGCAAATGTAATGCAGACTCTGCATCTTGGTTGTAAAGTTGCCTTCTGAATCCATTTCTACAGATTTCTCAGGTGTCTGATTAGCTAAGTATGTGTATATACATCACATTGTGCCAGAGTTTCAGACCATGAGAACTGAGATTTTTACAGTAGTCACTAACTTAAAATTTCAAGGCTATCAATATAAAATAGAAACCTATCCAGCAAAACCTCAGCTTTTAGGGGAGAAAGTTGTGTTTTCATTGGAATTGTTGACTTCATAAATTTGACTTGAACTCAAATTCATGTTTCTGAAGCTAATTATATTTTTTCCTTTAATGTCAACTGCATATATTATGTAATTTTAATATAAACTCACTGAAATATAACCACATATCATGTGTTTCATATATTCTATATATACTATCCATCATCTTTTTAGCTAATATCAAATAACTTATTCAATCCTGTTGATCACATAAATCTTCTGGAGATTTTGAGTCAGTATTATCTAGTTCACTGTTTTCCAGATATTATGTGTATTGGCCTTTGCTCTTACCAGAACATAGTTTTCCATCACCAGTAAATCCTTTCAAACACTGACATGTGGCATTTTCTCCTTCTGAAACACACTGAGCCCATGTACCACATCTTATAGGACCACAGTCGTCATTATCTGCAAACAGGGAGAAACCCATCAGATTATTTGCAGACCTCAGGGGGGGAAATGGACTTGACTATTTGGGGTTCTACAGAACATTCCAGCACTTCCTTTCCTGAGTTCTGGGATAGTTAACCTCCAAATAGAAACAATTTGTTGACCTATAAGCTTTATCTATATTAAAGGATCCACCAGCCATATGTTTCCATTTACATGCTCTCAATAAGTCTCTAGTCTTAAAGACCTATTTGGTGTTCAAAGAGCCCTGTGTGAACTTGTTTATCATTTTTTAAAAACCATTTGCAAGTCTGAACCATAACATTCCTAGGAGTGAATGCACTCAAGTTTCAAAAGTTGTATTGTTTATTTGAGAATTTCCAACCATCATGACATACAATAGGGGTCAATATATTCTTATCCCTCAAAGAGACACAGACTAATATACAGCAAGTAGATCTGTGTACCAACATGGCAGAGAAACAATAAATAACAATTTATTATAATAACACAAGATACAATAGAAAGATTTATTGTCAATTTACTAAGATTATGTTTCATATATAAGAGAAATGTATGTCACAAGATTTATGCAGTGACTTGCAAACTTCAAGGCACTTTTACAAAAGTCATGAACCATGCAAACTAAATGCTGTAAATGGATCATTTCATTTCATACTCCATTGAAATGCAAATGCCCCAGGGGATGGAGCTACATGTTGAGCCATAAACATGAGCAACTTTTGTGTTTTTTTTTTTTTCTTTTGACTACTCATGTATATAATCATTCTCCAAATGTCTCCTCTCTTTTGGAGTTGGGGGGCCTGACATACCACAGCAGGATATGAACTATCATCTCTCTATTCACTGGTAAGTTTGCTCATCTGAGTACCGAAGAGGTAAAAGAAGCACTCTAAATTTGTCCATAAATAAAAGAAAGTTAAATGATCTAAGTAGGATTCAGGTTCCATGTGAATGTAGACATTGGGTAATTGCATTTGATTTGCTTAGCTATTTGAGTGAGGTTTCTCTTGTGGGAACACATGCCCTTCATTCTTGCTTGGTCCTCTCCTGTCACTCATGACTCTTCAAGATGGATAAGTTCAGACTAAATCAATTATATTTGATTTGGCATGCATTTGGAAGACTAGCGCTCAAGTCACAAGGCTGTTCAGTGTATAGTGGGCAGTATCCAATTACCCAAGACATTTTAAATCACTTGCAGAATTGCCTTAAATTAGAATATGGCTCAGGATTTATTTGGTAACTTGCAAACCCCAAGGCAGCTTTTGCATAATGAAAAGCAATGGATGTGCCGTTGCAGGGGGATGGGCCATAACCAAAGTTCTTTCTGCCACAAACTTCCTCTGGAAGGAATGCCTAGGCATTCACATTCCTCTTCTCCAAAATATCCAAAACACAGGTGACACTTTTTGTCCAATCTACTTCACATGATTATTGTAAGGACTTGGAAAAAAAAAGTGATTTTTGTCTAAGTTTATTTATTTAAGTTAGCTCTACACCCAATGCAGGGCTCAAACTCATGACCCCAAGATCAAGAGTAGCATGTTCTTTTTCTTTTTCTTTTTTTTTTTTTAGGTTTATTTATTTATTTTGAGACAGAAAGAGAGCGAGAAGGGGAGGGGCAGAGGGAGAGGGAGAGAGAGAATCCCAAGCAGGCTCCATGCTGCCAGTGCAGAGGCTGACACAGGGCTTGGTCTCTTGAATCATGAGATCATGACCTGAGCCAAAATGAAGAGTCGGGTGCTTAATGGACTGAGCCACCAGGTGTCCCAAACTTGAAAAAACGTGATTTTTTTTTAAAGCCTTGAGAATAATAAATTCTACACATATGTAAATAAGGACAACAAAGAAGAAGCGTATTGTGACCGTCTGAATCAGAATTAGCCTTATCACATTAGAAAAGACTCTTGATGGGGCACGTGCATGGCTCAGTTGGTTAAGTGCCTGATGCTTGGTTTCAGCTCAGGTCATGATCTCACAGTTTCATGGGCTCGAGCCCTGCACTGGGCTCTGCACTGGCAGTGCGGAGGCTGCTTGGGATTCTCTCTCTCTCCTTCACTCTCTGCCTCTCTCCTGCTCATGCTGTCTCTGTCGCTTCCAAAATAAATAAATAATTTTTAAAAAAGAAAAGACTCTTGGGACTATTAATTAAACTAATAAAATTAATTCATTTAAAAGTTCCTACTATATGTCAGATCCAAAGAGAGCCACAAATACAGTGATAGAGAATATAGACAGGGGTTCTGCTTTCTTGTGTAATTAATTATTGAAGTACACGTGCGATAAGCACTCTCAAGAAACAATACCACATTCTAAGAGAGCTGAAATAACTCTCATCTTACCTTGTTAGGAGAGTAGGAAAAGCTTTCTGAGAGATCTGAAGGATACATAGGACTTGAAAGGGTATAGAAAGAATACTGTGGGCTGAGAACACAACATCAGTATGTTATAGGCAAGGCCAGTATAACTGAAGCTGGCCATAGAAAGCTGAGGACAGGGGTGCCTGGGTGGCTCTGTCCGTAAGGTATGACTTTGGCTCAGGTTATGACCTCACAGTCCATGAGTTTGGGCCCAGTGTCGGGCTCTATGCTGACAGCTCAGAGCCTGGAGCCTGCCTCAGATTTGGTGTCTCCCTCTCTCTTTGCCCCTCCCCCCATTCATGCTGTGTTCTGTTTCTCTCTCAAAAATAAGTAAACATTTAAAAAATTTAAAAAAAAAAGACGAGGCTAGAAAGGCACACATTGAGGCTGTTGAGATGTGTAAGGACTAGTTCATCCAGGGCCCAACAGGCCATGTTAAGAATTTTAAATTTTATTCATGAATTTAGAAGAACTCGTTATTTTTGTAAACCTGACCATGAAACTTTTTTATGATTGAATTTCTTTGCCATCTTCTATGCAGATCTACTTGCTATATACCAGTGTCTGTGTCTTTGGTGAATAAGAATATATTGATACTAACCTAAAATCTCTTATACCATTTTCAAATTCTTTGTGGCATAGATATTTTGTTTAAATGAAATCTCACTACAAAACATAAATATGACCCTTAGCCTAACACAGGTAGAACTAAAACTTTATAGACTAAGACAAAATAGAACACAGTTTAGATATGGAAAGAGGAGGCAGTTTTCACAAAGGCAATCAATTCCATCCATTCTGCACAAGGTACAGTACAGTCTCAGGTATGAAGCCAGACACAGCCTATTATACAGTATATGTATTCCAATCTTTGGCCATCTCATCTTCCCCTCCATCCCATCCATGTGTCTAATTTACTATCTGTCATTCATCTTGGTCTTGGAATCTCCCAAACATTAGCCTTTCAAAATATGCTCCATGAACCTTTAGGGAGCCCTAGCAACTTTGAAAGGGTTCTCGATACTGCTAATATTTATTAATATTGTTTTATTCTATCATTTGTTTGCCTCCACATCAGACTGTGACCTTGGATGTCAAGGCTATTTTCAGCTCATCATGGTATCCCTAGTGCTTAGCACAGTGTGTAGCAAATAGTCACTAAATGAGGAATATTCCTAATGTGATCATGTTTTCCTGACTTTTTTTCTTGACATGAATTTATTTGGTCCTAATTTTCAAAACTCTTTGGTAAACTCATTACATTAATATATCTTAGCTTCAGTTTTCAAATCTGTTAAGTGATGGGTTGTGATAAGAATCATATTAGAGGTTAAAGTAACTGGTAAACTCTAAACCTCTGTACAAGTTATTATTACCAAAAATATCCACCTCTGTGTTTGCATTTTATAAAAAAAAAAAAAATCACACTGATAAGTTTTATAGGGAGAGGTAAGAGGTCTCCAGGCTCTGGTACACTGGCAAAGGAGTCTGCAGGCCATCAAAGTTGGATGAGCGCTTTAAGTGTATCTAAGATCTTGATGTGGAGCTTTCAAACTTATTTTTCACCACAGATATTTTATTAAAATAAACTCTTGGGGCGCCCGGGTGGCTCAGTCAGTTAAGCGTCCGACTTCAGCTCAGGTCATGATCTCACGGTTCGTGAGTTCAAGCCCTGCATCGGGCTCTGTGCTGACAGCTCAGAGCCTGGAGCCTGTTTCAGATTCTGTGTCTCCCTCTCTCTCTGACCCTCCCCCGTTCATGCTCTGTCTCTCTCTGTCTCAAAAATAAATAAACACTAAAAAAATGTTTTTAATAAATAAAAAATAAAATAAAATAAAATCTTAGCCAGAAATATAAATAAATAAAACATTTCAAAGTAGAGCTGCACTGATTACAGGGCAGAGAGCAGAGTGAAGAAGGGGTGGGGTTTGCAAAAGTTCTAGGGCTGAGCTAAGCCCAGTTTGAACACCATTGACCTCATGAGTAAATAGAATACAGAATATAAAAGAATGAGGCTCCCTAAACTTGTTACATACTGAACAAATTATTTCGTATTTTGGTGATAAACGTGCAGTACAGAAGAAAACAATTCAAATATTTGCCGTTTGTAAACTTTGGAGCAGCTGAAGCAACCAACTTACGTTTGCTTATCAGTTACAATCTACTTTTTCACACTAACCGAAGTATAGCTAGATGGACAAAAGATAAAAAATACTAGGTATGGATAGGGATACACTCATATCTGTTTTGTCTTATTTTTCACCTTTGTTTCCAAGTTAGATTTCTTCAAAGAAGTTTCAGTTCAAAGATTCTCAATGAGTAAAGTTCATGTCCTGTCTAATAGGGAGCCATTTTCCTCAGGCACACGGTTCAGAAAAGAAGGACCAAAATTTGAGTCCAAGGTTTGGCTTCACTAGTTTTGTGTACATTTAGCCAAAGTTAGAGAATGAATTCAGGATTCTAATTAGAAGGATGGAAATTGTTGGAACCAAAGCTATGTTGGAGAACTCATCATTCATACCTGACACCATGATCTCAGCCACTAGCGTATGTTGGGATTCTGTACTGTTATCTTCAGATCCTCTATTCCTGGATAAGACATCCAGTGGCGTTACTTGGTTACTTAGATCTGCTTCACTACCTACTGAAGGTCAAAAGATACAGTTAATTTACCTTTTATGATTCAAGAAAGTTTTGATTTTAACTTACATTTATAGATGTTTGTTGGTTGTAATTTCAAACTTACTTGTACAGTAAGAGCACTCAACTAGCAGTATCTTGGTGACTTAGAAAACCTCACCTTGCTGTACCACACCCTCCCAGCTTCACTCAGTGCACTTGACAGTTGAGGGTAGGGAGAGACAGTGGGCAAAAAGACAAGACCAATTTAGGTACTGGCAAAAACAATGCATAAAATACTAAAATCCTAATGGACATAAACAGCTCATAATCACAGCCTGCTATAAGGACAAATTAATAAGATGATCTCCCCATCCTGCCTTCCATACATATTCTTTCTCCTTTAGGCTGCTTTCAATACTTACTTTAGCCTTATTTTACCTGTATTCAGAAACATGAAGGGGCACCTGGGTGGCTCAGTCAGTTAAGCGTCTGACTTCGGCTCAGGTCATGATCTTGCAGTTTGTGAGCTCGCGCCCCACGTCAAGCTCTGTGCTGACAGCTCAGAGCCTGGAGCCTGCGTTGGATTCTGTGTGTCCCTCTATCTCTGCCCCTTCCTGGCTCATCCTCTGTCTCTCCCCCTCTCTCTCTCAAAAATAATTAAACATTAAAAAAAATTTTTAAAAAGAAACATGGAAGGGTATAAACAAGTCATAATTTAACATAGGCATGGAACCCAGTACATGGGAGAAATTGATCCCCTAAAACACTTAGTGTGTTCTCTTAGTTCTCTAGTGGGTTCCCATTGCACAGAGTCCATAACGTCAAAACTACTTTCACAAATACATGTTATATTGTTTGCCTTTTTTCCCTGTGTTGACTTTGATACTAATGGGGCAAACCAATTAGGCAAAATTACTGGTGCCTCAGTATGAATTAAGGCAATGGCACAAACTCAACTAACAGTCATGTCTTCACTGCACACATTCACACACACACACAAACACACACACACACAGTTTCACTTAAAAAGACAAATGATGAAACAGTAAGAATTATTAATTTTTTAAAATCTCAACCATGGAATACTTGGCTCTTTAATATTCTGTACAATGAAATGGAAAGTATATATAAAACACTCTGTGTCCACACTGAAGCGATGATAGTCTGGAGGAAAAGAACGTGTGTAGCTACAAGTTGAAACTAGCCTCTTTTTCATTGGACATAATTTTTACTTGGGAGACTGACAAAGTATGTTATTAACACTTGGAGATCTGGCAAGCACCTTCCAAAAATGAAGTGAGTATGTTGTTTCAAGAAAAGCAATCGGCAATACTTATTGCCAATGATAAAACTTCAGCTTTCAAGTGAAAAGTAGAATTCTGGAAAAATTTTCCCACTATGCTGAGCTTGACAAAATCTCAAAACTCAAAAGCTTTTCTAATGGGTTTGACGGGAATTAATTAGTGAATGTGACTGGATGTGTGTGTGACACTTGGAAGATATGCAACAACTCGGCCAGCCAGTTTTTTCAAATGACCAACATGATGCCACAAAATCACATATTGGTAAAAGAGCCACTCAAAGTACAAAACAAAAAGAAAACAAAACAAAAAACCCACTGGATTTTAATATAACAGGTGACAAAAAGATTATTGATGTGGCTTCAGATTCCACATTGCAGCTAAGGTTTAAGAAACTACCACCTGTCCAGTTCTGATATACTATCAAAAGAATACAAAAAAGGCATCTGAAAGGCTATTAAATTTTCAATCCTCCCTTTTCCAAATCCACGTCTATGTGAGGCCAGGTTTTCTTCATAGGCTTTGACCAAAACAGCACAACAACAAATTTAACATAGAAGCAGATATGAGAATCCAGCTGCCCTATATGAAGCCAGACTTTATTTTATTTTATTTTTTTTTAATTTTTTTTCAACGTTTTTTATTTATTTTTGGGACAGAGAGAGACAGAGCATGAACGGGGGAGGGGCAGAGAGAGAGGGAGACACAGAATCGGAAACAGGCTCCAGGCTCCGAGCCATCAGCCCAGAGCCCGACGCGG